TTGTATATCTATGACTTTGAATATCTGGTATCAATCTGAGAATAATAGTTTGGAGACATAACGAATACAAAAGAAATCAAGGCTTTTTTTTTTTTTTTTTTCTTTTTTTTGGAAACCTTAGATCCAGTCAACTGATATCCATTGCATTCCATCAACACTTGGTTCTGGTTTTTTCCCCTTCTAAAGTGTTTGACTGTTGTATATCTATGACTTTGAATATCTGGTATCAATCTGAGAATAATAGTTTGGAGACATAGCGAATAAAAAAGAAGATCAAGGCTTTGTTTTTGCTGCATCCATGGCTTTTTGTCTGCCATCTTTCTTGTTCACCAGAGCCCAAATGCCTTTTCAAGTGTCAGTGAAGAATCCAATTTTACCTCAAAAATACTTGTTCGAAATGAAATGGTTGTCGTAAGATATCAAGAAAATTTAGTTTTTGGATTGAATGTCATGTCTGGAACAGAATGGTCAAAGATCCTATTCTGCTTTTATACTATCCAAGATCCAGTATTTTGTTTTCAAAAAATTTTTTTCAAAGTTTGATTTTTTACAAAATTCTAGCATATTATCACTAGTTATGAATATAGAAATCAAATTCATAACAAAAACGCTGCAAATTCCGTGCAATAAACCCTTTTTGATCCGTACGATCCAGTTCACCGAAGTCCAGTCCATTCCACCATGCTCGGTTCCGGATTTTCCAAAATTAAAAAACTCTCATAATTCAGAAACTAGAAGTATAATTCAAATTGTGATGACTGGGCAAGTTTTTACAACACACTAAGGTTAGGTATGCCCTTTTAAAAGTTTAAAATTTCTTGATTWTTAATTTTTTGTTTCATGACTTTTTCATCCAGTGCATTCCATCAACACTTGGTTCCAGACTTTTCTAAATTAAAAAATCTCCTAAATTGTAGAACTCAAAAACAAAAAATATGTTTTAGAACTTTAGCATGCTTTCACTATAACCAATATTGATTATATTCACTTATTTGCAAGGCAAACCTTTTATGGACCAAAAGTCTTATAAGTATTATAGTGTTTGACTGTGGGCAKATGGCCAGACAAAAAGCAAGGCAAAGGAGTTTTTTAATTCACAATTATTTCAATATTATTATTTTATTACCTTGGATTGTAGGCTTGATTACTAGTTTCATTGGACAAAAAATATGAACGTAAACATAAATTGCCTTTGCCCCCCTCCCTCCCCCTTTGCTTCCCCTTCGCTCCCCCTTCCCTTCCCTCCCCCTTCCCTTCCCTTCTCTCCCCCTTCCCTTCCCTTCCCTCCGCCTTCCCTTCCCTTCCCCTCCTCCTTCCCTCCTCCTTCCCTCCCCCTGTTATGCTCTGTGCATGGTTCTTACAGATGTTCATTTATTTTTGTAGCTTGGGTTTGTCAATAAATTCTCGAAATCATCCAGCAGTTCTGTATCTCCTGTAAGTATGATAGTAGGTTGATGAATAAACAAACAAAGGAATGGTTAGATGAATGAATATTTGTGTGGATAGATGAATGAATATTTGTGTGGATAGATGAATGAATATTTGTGTGGATAGATGAATGAATATTTGTGTGGACAGACAGACGGACCAACAGATGGATGGATTGGATAAATGGATGGAT